GCTGCTTACTCAAGAGTCAGAAATAAGAGTTTTTGAAGGCTGAAAATTCTGGATACAATGCTGATATCTTCTCACTACAGTTTCCCATGGCTTTAGCAGTTATACCTAAAGTATTACATCAAGAATTGGGGTAACATTGATGGGATTTTAAAAGATGATACAAAGAGCTTGGTTTATATTGGTTTGTCCTCCAGAAAAACATTGTGTTTTAGAAATTCTTAATGTTTATTTAAGCCCTTTTGTTCGATAAAATAAACTTGGTAGGCAATTTAATACAAAATTGATTTAGAAATCAACACATCCCAAAATTTTTCTGGATATTTCTGAAACATTAATTCATACATATGTATATATGTGCACACATACAAGCACACATAAATCTTCTTGTTGCTTTTGAAAGTTCTAAAAATCATCTCTTTCCCTTGAGTACTTTTTCCGATTTTTAAAATAATTTATATCCAGTGTCTAATTTTGTTTAAAAATTATTAAATGAATTCTGAGTCCAGTGGTATATTTTGCAGAGGAAAAGGAAAAATATTTCTCTGAATTGGCTACTTTTTAAACTTCATGGTTGGGTGGGGAATGTGTTGGAAAAACTAGGGCTTACATTTGGATTTTCTGAAGCCAAGTCTAATTATCTCTTATTTGCATTATTAGGCTTCTTATGTTTTCCCAATATATATAAAATACTTAACAAGAGACACAGAATGCTTACATTTATAGTGCAGCTGAGGACTGTGATGAGTTCTGGGCAGACCTTGCCTGATTTGTCTCAAATTCTGTAGTATAGACAGTGGATCAGATGACACAGTATTTAGATGCTTAGTACATTCTGAAGGGATCAAGGAATATATTTTCAAATTGCTTCATGAACATGCTATTTTGACCATCTGAGGTGAAAAACCCAGTTACCTTGGCTAGATGCATAGCAAGAAGCAATCTCTCAGCACTGTGGGTTCTACAAAATGATAGCTTCACAGGTGGTGATGTGAGGATAAGCAAGAATAACAAAAATGGAAGGGGTCACCGGTTAGCTCAGGTGGTTAGAGCGCAGGCTCATAACACCATAGTTGCTGGTTCGATTCCCACATGAGCCAAGGATCTGCGCCCTCCACAACTAGATTGAAACAACTACGTAATACCTTGGTTTGCGAGCATAATTCATTCTGGAAATAAACTACTCGTATTGTAAGACATCACTTGTTTACCAAGTTAAAATGTATTAGAAATGTTTGCTCATCTTGCGGAACATTCGCAAGCCACGTTACTCACAATCCAAGGTTTTACTGTACTTGACTTGGAGCTGATGGGTCCTGGAGAAACACACTGTTCCCCAGTAAAATTTCTTTAAAAAAAAAAGAAAAAACATGAAAGAACAATTGCAGTCCTGCCAATTTCTAGGACATCTGCATAGTTACACAGATCTAGTTAAATAGCTTACGTCAAATACACTCAGAACAAAGCATAAACCAAACAGTTTCAGATTCCTTGATGTATCCACCGCCAAAGGGCTAAAATATGTGGTGTGGTAAGAATAAGGAGGCTGGGAGACTCATTTAGTAACTGAATTCACGACAGCACTTCACCTGTTGGAGTCAAGGTCACATTTTAGCATAAGTCTCATAAGGATAAAGTTGTTTGCTTGTGAAACATGTTTGTTGGCAGTATAAACTCACTAATTTTGACCTTTAACTCCATATTCTCCTGCTTTACTATATGTTTCTGAAGGGGATTTGAAAGTCATTTACTTTTAAAAAATCCGGAGGCTGAAAACTAATTATAAGATTACATTATTAAAAACTAAAGTCCTAAATCAATTTGTTATGATCTGAGAGGATTTTTGTAGTTGAAGAGGCAATGCTAGCATTATACATGGGTAGTACTAATTTTGTATCTATATAAGTGTTTTTAATTCTTTTATTTATGCTTATGAGTTAAAAGTGTAATAATGAATAAATAAATGCTAAAATTCCTTTATAGTACAAAAACAAGTTGCTAAATATAAACAAATTTAAAATTTTGAATTAAAAAATTAAAATGAAGGGGAAGCGGCTGGTGGAAGAGGATAAAGGAGGTCAAATATATGATGGCAGAAGGAGAACTGACTCTGGGTGGTGAACACACAATGTGATATATAGATGATGTATTACAGAATTGTACACTTAAAACCTATGTAATTTTACTAACCACGGTCATCCCAATCAATTTCAATTAAAAAAAATGAAAACGAAAGATGTTTTCCTTGCAAGTATGGGCCAGAAAACATGGGTGCACATCATACACAGGAGCGCATTATATTGTACAAGGCAAAATACGGTCTATTGCTTTATACATTAAGGTCATTTAAGCACAGACTGTCAATACTGAACATTTTGTGGTTACACAAATGTCTATCATTGGTCACCAACAGTGCTGTCCAAAAACAATGAAACAAAAACCTGACACCTCCTTCCTCTAAGTAATACAATGGGAAAAGTGCAGATCACAAAAACAAGCGCCATGATGTTATACCTATTCTAAAACTTGGCCTTTTGTGTTTGGTATATTTTAATCAGATATTCAAATACCTGAGTCACCGTTGATCAGGCACTGAGAATGACAGAGGATCTAAGCAGCCTTATGGAACTATTTCCCTCTACTCTGAAATTCAGATGTCAAAAATCACTGCATGCTGGAAGCATCATTATTAGTATCACTCACCTTTCTGGAAAATTCAAGAATAAGATGGTGAACTTCAAAAACATATAGATTCATTTTTATACTTACCTGTGTTTCTCAAACATTTATGTAATAAACTTATGTTTACTTAAAATATATTTAAGAGTGAGAGGTGATTTTGAAGTTGAAAAATACTGTTGAACTTTAGAATGAATGGGTTTTGTCAGAATTATTGGCCAGAGGAAGGCCTAGCTCCACAGAAATGGAGAAGGCAATGCTCACTGGTCCTCAGCCCAGGAGTGATGGTAGAAATGTCAAGAATAAGAGGCTCCTTCAATCAGGAGCAGCTGTTCATCTCAGCACAGCCTCCCAGGTTTCATAACATGCCCAGGAAACCGTATAAAGACAGTAAAGTAAATCTGACAGGAGAAATGGAGGAATACTCTTAGTCAAAGAGACCATTTTATTTTTATTTTTTAATTATTTATCTGTTTTTTTTTTCAGTTACAGTGGATGTTCAATATTATTTTATATTAGTTTTAAGTGGGCAGCATAGACAGTTTTAAATGTCTGCTTTTCTGGGGAGGTAGATGACAAATAATAGTTTCTCTATCATTTCATTTTTCTTTAAAGAAGCCAAGATTAGGGCCGGCCGAGTGGCGCGATGGTTAAGAACTGGCTTGGGACGCCAGAGGGCCCCGATTCGAATCCCACATATGAGGACCAGTGACACTGCCCTCCACAGCTAAGATGCTGAACAATAGCTCAGCCTGGAGCTGGGCTGCCGTGAGTCGCCAGCGACAGCATAGGCTGCAGCCCCTGTGGCAGTGGGTTGCCATGGGCTACCGTATGTAGCCAGCAGCCACAGTGAGCGGCTGTCCAGAAGCCAGCAACTGATCTGCCTCGCCCGGGAAGAGTGCAATGATGGTGCCAACTTGGGTCAGTGAAGCAACGTCCTCCACAACTAGACTGAAGAACAAAACAACAGCAACTTATCTGTTCCCCTTCCCCCAATTCCCCAATAAAAATCTTGAAAAAAAAAGAAGCCAAGATTATAAAATGAGATGAGATGTTATAGGGAAATAGAGGAAACAGCAGGCTGACATATGCACTGCTTCCTTCATGCACAAGGGAACAAACATCACTCTCTCAGTAGGGAGAACTTTCCTCCTTGTTTCACTTGAAGGGGTCCAAACCACATAACCACTAAGTGTTGAAACATTCATGTAATGGCTCTGGGTGAATTCAGTTAGAGAATTCAGTTAGACATCTCAAAATTTAGCAAATTTGGCACTTCTCTTCACTGAAAGACAGGAAGAAAATGTCCATATTAAATTGAATTTAAAATTTTCTGACACTAAGAAAGGAGCCACAGATCAATGACAACTGAAATTTAAGGGATCTGTTTTAAACAAATAGTAGGTAGAGCAGTTGAATTTGCAATAATTTAAAAAATATATTAAAGCTATTTATATGCAGAAATAAAAAAATATAGATTCAATTTCATGGAATTCATTACTATCATCATTCTGTCAGGTATTCTTTGTCTGGTCTGGAGTTACTAAAAGACAGGAATAATATAAGTCATGATATTATTTGGAGATCTCACAGAAATTTTCAAGCGTCTCTGGGATTTAGTGAGATAGTTTTTTAACACAGTGATTTTTTAAGTCATTGAAAATTAAGTCATTGAAAAAGCATTCTTTAAGTCATTGGCAAAGCACCTTTATTCTGATATATTGTTTTTGAAATCAGGGAAAGAAATTATGTAAAAATTTTAACTGTATAAGTTACGAACACACTTGTGTAACTAATACTCAAGATATAAGACATTTCCATCAACCCTAGAAAGTTCTCTTAACCTCTTCCAGTGAATCCCACTACATATAGTTATCCATTGTTCAGATTTCAATCTTCATAGGTATTTTTCCAGTTTTTGAACTTAATAGAAATGAATCATATAGTGTGCATTTTTGAGTAGCTTTTCCCTAGGACTATGCAATGCTATTTCAAAGTGAAACCATAGATCAATCACATCCATTGACGATGGGTAATGGGAACCAGTCATCCAAATATAGTAATGTATTTGGTCTTTCTGTTTGTAGAAGAGGTGTAAAATCAAGGATAAATATTAAAAATAATGAACAATACTGAGATATCAAATAACCTGAAAATACAGAATTGAGTGATAGGAGACTCTTTGTTATGTTAGTTATGCGATTCATAGCAGTCCCCTAGATAGCCCCAAGAATGTATTGTGGCCAGTTGATAATAAGTCACCTTTTTTGAATGTCAACAGTCACTATTTGAAAAAATATTTGCATAGAGTGTGAAAGATGCACCTGTCGGAAAAACTCCTCCATCAGGGCCATGGTCCACCGGTGGTGCAGCTGCCAGCATTTGGCTGGATGGCTGATGTCTGCTGCATGGAGGATCAGGGACATGGTTTTGGCTCTGTCGATCCTGTTGAAACCAAAAACATACTCAAATTATTAGAACAAAGTAACCAATTACAGTCTTTTCTGAGTCCAAACCCAATGAACTTTAACATCAATCAATCAATCAATCAATCAATAACCAACCAACCAACCAACCTACCCTTCAGGCTGCTGCAAACTGTTTCTTATATTTTTAATTTGCTGGAAGTGACTCGACATGTCTGTAGACAAAACCATTTCAATTACTAGGTTCCGAAGATCCCTGTGAAGTCATCAAAAGAAAAGGTTTATTTGGCCCTTTATTGTTCTCAAGTGGAACATTTCCTTAAACATCACTGATTACATTTTATGTTTAATGGATATGAACACAAAAGAAGCTACTCTTTAAATGTAGACGTGCTTACCAAAGTTTACATTATTTTACGTTTTAACTCTTGAAGATATAGGAAGTTGCCAGGAGAGTGATCTGTGAATGATGCTGTTTAACATCTTCCCCTTAAAGAACTGGATGCTTTCTCCTCCCACTCTTACAACCCTCCCCCTGCGCATAATTCTTAAATATTGTTTTTCTATCTGAAAGGATCCTAACTAATTTTATAGAAAAACTATTCTCAATGCAGTCTGTGCTATTAATGAAACCACTACTATTCAGCATTTATTCAATCCAGGCAGTGTCCTAGGTGCTTTGTATATGTATTATGACATTCAATCTTCATAACAACCCTGTGAGGGGGTATTATTATTTCCCACCAGAGGAGACTGAGTTCTTAGCCCAGTCACATAGTTAGTATAGAGCAGAGATAAGTTTCAACCCTAAAATTTCCCACTACCAAAGCTGACTCTTGCACTACTCCTTTGTGCCAACCGGCCATAATTAGAACCCTAGAAAAACCAAGACTCTAAAGTGATTGGAATTTCTCTGCTTAAGCTATTGGGGTCCTGACCCTACATGTCATAGAAAGAGCTATCTGTACTATTGAAATTTTAACTAAGACATTGTAAATATGGTGACCATAACACAAGGCCTAAACCTGAATAACTCATTCTTACACTAAGTAGAAAATAAGTCACCTCAACACAGTCTTGCATGTTCCACAATTCATTGCTTGCTTAGTACAGATAGGTAAAATAGTCAGTATATTTTGGGGAACCATATTTTATTTTCATTCTGTGGTGTGGCCTATAGAGTAAGCTGAATTAAAGGTGAGTGGTAAACATAAATTACGATTTTGTAGCAAAGAAATTTCCCTAAAGATGGTATGATCAAATTACTTTAAAAAATATATATCATACATTGGAGGCTCTTGCTAAAAATTATGGGTGCTCAGTTCAATTGGATTTTTATATGGGAGCCATGAGAAATCAATACACTGATTACTGTTCATGATGTGGATAGCTTGCTTAGAATACTTTTAGCCAAATATTAAGTGAAGGGAAGCTATTAAAAATAATAAAATTATTCTCAATTACATTTTTTTCTCTGAAATTCTGAGGAGACCCATATTACAACAGCAACTAAACCAACATGTTCATGTTAACTAAGGAAAAATGAGACTAAAGTTTTATGAAATATATAAATCTCATATATACATTGTGCTTTGCAGATAACTGACCAGTAAATGCTAGATATATTATCAATAATCAACTCATATATCAAATATATCAATAAACTAGACAAAATAGTGCACAAAGTAAATGTTACTTTATGAATTTTCCTTGCCCAAATTTTAATATTATTGCATTTGTAGTTACTAAAGTTACTTTAAGAAACCAACAGATATGCAAACAGAAAACAAGTCTTTAAAAACCTATTCATATTTTTTTTTGTTTGTTTGTTTTCTAAATTTCACATAATTTTTTTAAATTTCTTTTTTTATTAGTTTCAGGTGTACAAAGCCACGTAATAATTAGACATTTACACCTCTCAAAAAGTGATAACTCTCCCCTCCCAAGCTACTACCCCTCTGACATTGTATATAGCTGTTACACTTCCATTGACTATATTCCCTATGCTGTACTCCTATTCATATTTTAATTCTTGCTACAATGTTATCAAGTTTATACTAGCAAATAGATCTTTTATAGCTTTTTGGAAAGTGTTGGATCTATTAAATTCTACAATCTATATGCTATGTATAGCATTTGTTAAAATAATTCTATAAAACCATTTAATTAGGATGAGTCAGAAGTTCCTGTATGGAAATTTACAAAATAATAGAGGAATAAATTATTAGGATAAAATATTACAGATGTTAAAGAACATTGTGTGATGGGATAAATTTACACTGAAATAGCAACAGAAATAACTTTGAGGAAGAAAAAGTTTAATTCAAAAGAATAATAATAGTAGTAATTAATAATATAAATGTTACTTCTGGGAATGATAATCACTGCTGAAGAAATAAATATTCTAGATGTAAATAGTAAATCTCTCAGATCTTAGTAAATACCTCCAAACTTGTTTCCCTGCTTCTGCCTTTGCCCTTCTGTTCATATTGCCCAACGGCTATTGATTTTAAATCCTTTTACAGTTAGATCCTGGCCTTCCTAGGCTGGAAACCCTCATGGGCTATTGCTTCCTGCAGAATAAAATGAAAGGCCTGAAGTCCCCCCCCCCCCCTCATGACATTAGAGCTTTTCTTAGATGCAAAAGTAACCTTGAAAAACCAGGAAGCTTCAGTATTTGGTAAAGTAACCATGGGCCATTAGGGCTTGTTTTAAACCCTAAATTAACCTTTTATTTATTTTAAGGCAATTCTTGTTCCCAGGTCATTTCTTCTCTATGGACAATTTTTTTTTTACCTCGATTTAAAGGGAAACAAAACAAAACAAAATAACTCTTTGATATTTGCATTTAAATGGGAACCTTTTCAACCCATTAACAAGACCTTTGTTAAAAACAAAGGCCTTTTTTTTTTAAATCATATAAATAGGTCCCCTAGAATATTAGGGACATACTTACATTAAAACATTTCTATGTTTATCTGAAATTTATATTAACTGGATGAACTTTTTTTTATTTATTAAATCTGGCAACCCTATAGTCAAATGAAGGGATGGACGATGACCAAGATATCAAGAATAAAGGAGGAAAAGTTATGCTGAGTGGCAGTGTTACATGGTGTTCTTTTCCCCTACATGGCAAGGGGTATCACAGTTCCATGTAATTTTTTTTTAAGCAGCCTTGGAGAAACATGTAAGATTTCCTTTTGCACCTGAGCCATTTTGATATATTATCTTTGTAATGTTTTCCCCCAAATAGTGAACTCTTAGTTTTTTCAAAAAAGCTAACCTCCATGTTTAAAAAAGTAATATATGAAGGAATCAATATGACCCTAATATTTTGAATTTATGTAGAACTACACATTGGGTACAATTGAACAGAGCCCCATTCCAGAGAATATGTAATTATGTAACTTAAAGTATCTCTTTTATGGTGTGCGGTCTTATGGATTGGCTATCATACCTATAGGGGTTGAATTGGCCTGGAAATACTTTAGCCCCATCTAACAGAGTCTGGCTCCTGAACAAAGTTTTCTAGGTACTAGTACTTCTCAGAGTCATCCAGTCAAGAGACTTGAGTTTGTAGTATGAGTAAGGGATTGACTTTCATCTGTTTTCTTCACGTTAAATCACATAATTTAACTTTTTCCTGAAGTTAAATTTCCTCTAGGTTTCCTCTGAAACTCACCTCCAGTCATCTTTGGATAAATTTATCAAGACATTCATTTCTTCTTCTTGCATAAGTCGATAAGCTGCACTCACATGGTGATTCTCAAGGACAGATCGATCGTTATATAAAATGGCAACATCTGACCTAAGAATTAAAGAAAGAAAAAAGCCAAGTAGAGAATTTCATTAGACTTCATGCATGAGTGTCTAATAAAAATACTCAAGTTATAAGACATCTCATTTGGAAAAGCCCTATAACTGAACACCTAAATTTATGGAAGTATTTAGTTTCTTTTTAATTTTTTTTTTTATTGTATGACAACTTTTTAAAAAGTAGACTATTTCCTAGAGTAATTTTAGGTTCAAAGCAAGATGTACCAGAAGGTACAGTGATTTGCCACATATCCCCTGGCCCCAGACATGCATAGTGTCCCACATTATCAACATTCTCCACCACAGTGGTACATTTGTTACAACTGATGAAATCTACATTGACATGTCATTATTACCCAGAGTCCATAATTTACGTTAGGGTTCACTTTTGGTGTTGTATATTCTATGGATTTGCACAAATGTATAAGGACATGTATCTATCATTATAGTATCATATAGAGTATTTTCATTACCCTAAAAATCCTCTGTGCTTTGCCAATTCATCCCTCCCACTTCCTTAACCCCCCACAACCACTGATCTTTTGTTTCCATAGTTTTGCCTCTGCACAGTACCATATAGTTGGAATCATACAGTATATAGCCTTTTCATACTGCTAGCTTCACTTAGTAATATGCATTTAAGTTTCCTCCATGTCTTTCCATGGCTTGATAGCTCAATTCTTTTTTAGTACTAAATAATATTTCATTGTCTGGATAGATCACCATTTACCTACCCATTCACCTACTAAAGGACATTTTAATTGCTTCCAAATTTTGGCAATTATGAGTAAAGCTGCTATAAATGTCTTCATGCATTTTTTTTTGCGGACATAAGTTTTCAGCTCCTTTGGGTAAATACCAAGGAGCAAGATTGCTGGATCATATGGTAAGAGTATGTTTAGTTTTATAAGAAACCATCAGACTGTTTTTTAAATTGGCTGGACTAATTTGCATGCCCATCACCAATGTATAGGAGTTGCTGTGGCTCCATATCCTTGTCAGCATTTGGTGTCATCAGGGTTTCAGATTTTGGCCATTCTAATAGGTGTGTAATAGTGACTCATCATTGTTTTAATTTGCATTCCACTGATGACATATGTTATGCAGCATCTTTTCATATGCTTATTTACCATCTGTATATCTTCTTTGGTGAGGTGTCTGTTAAGGCTCATTTTTAAATCAGATTCTTAGTATTATTGTTGAATTTTTAAGAGTTCTTTGTACATTTTGAGTAACAGTCCTATATTATATCCTCTAGCCTTAAGTTAAACTGGGAAACCATTCTTTAAACAAAATTGAAAAGTTTTATTGGATAATGTCCAATTTATAATCAATATTACCATTTTAAATGATGAATTCATCAAGGCAAGGCTATTAATTCTCAACTGTCTGTATTTTCATATCATTTGATCATCAAATAAGCTACTTCAAGTTACATTATTGAACTTGGTCTTCTATCATAAAGTGTGAAATATTCCACGTATTCTCATCTCTGTATAATAGAGCCCTTGCTTCTCCTTCCTTATCCTCTTAGGTTGCCAGATCATTTTCAAAGTATGGAATGGAAGCAGAGTCACTAGGTGTAATGTATTAAAATGGTGAACCCATCCATATAACTTGGCAAATTGGAGGTAGGCAGCAAAAATAGCAAAAGGCAAGTCACATTGAGACCTGTAGCAATGTTGCTACCGCTTTCCCCAACACCAAAGTTCTCTCATTTTTCTTTCCTCCTAGTGGATACATACTTTGTCAGCACTAAAATTGCCTCGTTAAGACTTACCATTTTAGGATTTTCAGTGGGTTGAGTCTTAGTTATAAACTAGCACTGACCCTACCACTGAATGCTGACCAAAGAATAGGCAAGAACAAATAAAACAAAGAACTAAAGAACTTGGGCTCCTGTTGCAAGCAACTTATTCGAGATCTATATCTAATAGTCTGCCAGATAAACCAAGCATTTTTATTTTTAATTCAACAGAGAGGAACTGATCTACCAGGCAGTAGAATAATTATTTGCTCTTTTGTTTCCATCACTTCAGAAAAATAGAATAACATATGTAGTTAACTAACAATACATAGCTCCAAAATATGTTTTCTTTTAATAATTGCAGCTATGGTCTAAAAATGACATAGCCAATAATCATAGCTTAGTAGAAAGAAACCTGAACTACCAAAGCACACACGTAATCCTTACTCAAGAGGGAAATGAATGGATCTTGCCCAAGCATACCCAGAAGTTCACTGAGATCATGGAAAACACTGTAATTTGCAAATCAAATATCATTACCATTATCATTTGTATGGTTTCAAATCTAGCCATGGCAGTTTTGCCAGGGGTAGTAAAAGATATGGCTCCAAATATCACTGTCTTTATCTTTCAGCAACAAGAAAAGATATATTTTTGAACCAGATTTAGTTGCAGCAACGTACGTATGATTTTGTCTCATAAATGCAACAGGATGCTGAGAACACAGCATTATCTTAATGTTTGAGATAGTCTTTGACTTCTAAGAAAACAACAAGACTCTAAGCAACATCCAGTATCCATGGTAACATGTGGCTCAGTATTTTCTCAAAGAAAAAATTATTTGCATTTATTTACACTTGCAAGGATTTCATGAATTATAATGTCTATATTGAACTGAAATTTAGCCTTGAACTATGTTTTAAATTATTTTTCAGTCATTTTGCATTTTCTAGTAAATAGCTTTCCACATTAGGAAAGCGCTCTAAGTCCAAGTAAGAATGAATAATATAAAATGCAATAGAATCGTTGACATCTGTGACATCAGACCTATTCCTCCCTGGACACAATGTGAAGGTGATAGTGATAGTTTTAAAAAGCACATTATCTTTTTGCATTTGTGGTCACTACAACTTTTTGTTCATAAAATTTTCGTTCTTATAAAGGTAACACATTAGATAATTCATGCTGGTAGATAATTTATAAAAAAAATAAGTAAAATACTAGACCTTCCCCCCTTCCATAGTTTCTTAGTATAAAAACAGGGGAAAAAAGGATTTGTCCCCTTCTGCTCTTCCTTTTCCTCCTTCTTTTTTCCATCTTTACCTACTGCTCTGCAGCCCACAGTGTAAGAAAATTAAGACTCTTCATTCAGTTGTAAATGATTGGTACAAAGACAAAACTAGAAATGATTACCTAACATTGCTGCTGGAGGCCAGTCCATGGCCTTGACTTTTCAAAGTAGAAAGAGCAAGAAGTATTTATTGTTAACAAATTACGTGTTCCCTTCTCCAACTCCCCAAACTGTTGTCCCATACAGGACCCAACTCAGTAATGAGCAGTCTTTAATTACAATCCCACTCATTATGAATTGAGTAGATGTAGAAGAGCCTTTGATAAGGGAAAACAATCCACACAGTCTACTTCTCCTTTGATGTTTAACACAGGAACAAAACAACTTCCTATACTCTGCAGAAGTGGAGGTTAATAACATTCCCTGCCACAAAACCGGACTTTAGGCTCTTCCTTTACCCTTCACGTTCTGTCAACCTGGGGGACTCTGGGCAGAGACGGAATGCCTTCCCCAATACATCATTGTTTGAATTTCAACTCTTCCACTGTCTCCATCAAGGAGGCCATGATTTCCAAGCCCATCTATCTCAGGCTACAAAGGTTTGGAACTATTATATGTCTGTCTCTGGCCCTGGGAGCAGAGATGTGTAAGTAGACTGGACTGAGAGTGAGTGTCCCTCTCCTTAGCTTCTCAACCCCTCTACTGTCATCAGCTGACTATATGCATATGAACAGGTCATGTCACCTCTTGAGATCTTTGCTTTGTTCCTTTTTTAGACTGAGGTTTAGACCAGCTGATCCAGAATATGGATCTCAGTCACTTTAGGATCCCTTGAATGTCTAAAATGTCTAATATTTTAATAAAATGTTTCTGTGATCCCCACATCAAAAACAATAATTTTCTTTAACTAGAAAATCATTTGTTAGAAATTATTTTAAATAATAATTTTTTAAAAAAACAAGGCTGGCCGAGTGGCTCAGTTGGTTAAGAGCTCACTCAAGAGTGCGAGCTCTGGGGCCGGCCGAGTGGCGCGATGGTTAAGAACTGGCTTGGGACGCCAGAGGGCCCCAGTTCGGATCCCACATAGAGGACCAGTGATGCTGTGCCCTCTACAGCTAAGATGCTGAACAACAGCTCAACCTGGAGCTGGGCTGCCATGAGTCGCCAGCGACGGTATAGGCTGCAGCCCCTGTGACAGTAGGTTGCCATGGGCTACTGTATGTAGCCAGCAGCCAGCGTGAGCAGCCAACAGCCATTGTGAGCGGCCGTCCAGAAGCCAGCGACCATCTGCCTCACCTGGGAAGAGTGCAATGATGGTGCCAACTTGGGCCAGTGAAGCAACGTCCTCCACAACTAGACTGAAGAACAAAACAACAGCAACTTGTCTGCTCCCCTTCCCCCAATTCCCCAGCACTGTTCCCATCCCCCCAGTTCCCCAATAAAAATCTTTTAAAAAAAAAGTGCGAGCTCTGAGCAACAGGGTCACTGGTTCAATTCCTGGACCAAGCTGAGCTGCCACTGAGCTGCCAACAGATGGTAGGATCGCTCAGCTAAAAAAAAAACAACACACATAAAACAGACCACACCAAAACCTGCACATGAATGTTTATAACAGCTCTATTCATAAGTGCCAAGATTTAGATATCCTTCAATAGGTGAATAAGTAAATAAACCCTGGCACTTCCAGACAATAGAATATTATTCAGCAATGAAAACAAAAGAGCTATCAAGCTATGAAAAGATATATGAGCTTTAAATGCATATTGCTAAGTGAAAGAAGCCAGTCTGAAAAGGCTTCATATTGTATGATTTCAACTATACGACATTTTGGAAAAAACGAAACTAGAGTGACATTAATAAGATCAGGGGTTGCCATAGGTAAAGGGGAGGGAGGGAGGAATGAAAAGGTCAAGCACAGGGGACATAGGGCAGTGAACTATTGTGTGTGACACTATAACGGTGGATACATGGTGTTACACATTTGTAAAACTCATACAATGCATAACACAAAGAGTAAACCCTAATGTATACTAGGGATTTTAGTTGCTAATAATGTATCAATATTAGTTCATCGATTGTAAAAAATGCACCAGACCAGTACATGACATTAACAACAGGGGTAATTGTGGGGTGGGGGAAGGGAGTATATGGGGACTATACTTTCTGTTCAACTTTTTTTGAAAGCCTAAATCTCCTCTAAGAAATAAAATTTATTAATTTAAAACAATGAACAAATTAAAAAATAACTAGGTTTAGTTTTCCCACAAGAAGAATAGAGAGTTCTACAGTGGTTCCAGAAAGACATCGGTCTCTCAACTTACATCTCCATCTTAAACATATCTGACTAGGGAAAGGCAGAAATTTCAGGATCCTATGGATATAAAATGAGCTGGATCCTAATGGGTCCTAGACAAAATTCTGCCCCCCAGGCACTAAGATCTCTGTGCAACCAAATAAACGCAGAGCACTTTCCTATTATGGACTGAATTCTGTTCTTTAAAAATTTCTATGTTGAAGTTCTAAACTCCCAGTTCCTTAGTGTATGCCTGTAACTTAAGATAAGGCCTTTAAAGAAGTAATTAAGGTTAAATTAGGTCATAAGGGTGGGGCCCTAATCCAATATCACTGGTGTCCTTGTAACAGGGAGAGGCAGGAGGGGTGCTCACACACCAAGACATGGCCATGTAAGGACATAGCCATCCACAAGCCGAGGAGATAGGTCTCAGGAGAAATCAAACCTGCTGACACTGTGATTTTAGACAGCTAGTCTCCAAACCGTGAGAACATTTCTGTTATTTAAACCACCTGATCTGTGGTATTTTGTGATGGCAGCCCTAACAGACTAATACACCTCCACTCTAGTATTTTGATTTTAATAACTGCCATTATCACCATCATGTAAAAATCTCATTTTCCAATTATTTTAAATTTAACACTTCAAGCTAATCTGGAAGTAAGATTTCTTTGATTTTTTTTAGATTCTTTTTTTCAGAAGTGCATGTTTATTACTCTCAAGTACATAATAGCACCAAACTGATTTGTCAAACAATAAGTTGCAAGATTTGTCTCAGTGAATGAATATCTGACTTGTATGATAGTTCAGAGTGTAAATTCTGGGTAAAGAAAAATTGTCTTACACTTTTTTATGTTCTTTACGTTTCTAAATATGCCACCAAGTATATACAAGATTCTTGATAAATAATAGTTGATTAACTTAAATGTTTGCAGCTTAAGGAATTTTGCTAAAATTCATTAAACCTATTTGTATTAGACACCATCATTATTAGTTTTAAATCCTCTTAAGATAAGTCATATGCAGGAAAATGTATTTCAAATTATAACTTAGAAGAGTTAATACTTTATTTGGCTTACCTTGTCTGAATATGAAAGTTGTTTGTAGTGCCTGTATGCTCGTAATCATGAATGGCAGCAGCAAAGACCATTGCTAAAATTTCCAGTTCAGTGAGCCAGTGCTAGAAAATGAAAGAAAGATTCCAGCATGTTGAGAAAGCAGAGGCCATGTTGTCTTTCTACAAAAATTTTCAGTGCATCCAGTATAAGGAATTAGAGAAAATTGTTTTAACAATTTGAAATAAATTTTTCTGTGTCACCTCAGTTCATTGTGCATAAAACAAATACTTCATGAGGTCAAAGATTGTTTCATGGCATATAAGTTCAAAATTCAAACATGATCATTTTCCTTGCTAATTGGAAAAGGTGTAATTTTCTATGATTTAAAATGTGAACCCAGACTGGATTTTGAATTCATAGCCTTACCAATTGGGATTCCCATGAAATCCATCACAGTTTAGTGATTTCCTAACACAAAGCTTATACATCATTAAAATGTCTTTCAGCTTAACTTTTGTAGAAGACCTTACTGTGAGAAAATTTTCCATCTGAGAGTTGAACATATTCACTTTGCTCACGAGAGAAACTGAACCCAATTTGTATATTTAAAGATTTAGAAGTTTCCAAGAATTTACCAAATTGGTTCTTCATAAAACATATATTCTATGACTGTGCAATTAAACATAATAACAGTGAAAGATTAAATGCTTTCATGTAAGATCCAGACCACCTGCTTCATGTACATTGTACCTTTTTGTTATCAATTGGATGGCTTAGCAAAATTCCACTTCTATTATAAGTCCATTTAGGTAATCCAATAGTTTCTTTACTACTCATGTTTTTCTTAATACTTCTACTGCACTGCCAAATATATAAGCACAAGGGATTATTTAAATTAAAAACAAATAAAATTAAGTTCCCTTTAATAGTCACAGTAGCCACATTTCAATGGCTCAGTAGTCATGTGTGGCGAGCGGTTAGCATGTAGAACAGTGGAGATGCCAAGCATTTTCATTATCACTGAAAGCTCTGTTGGCTCACACTGTTAAGTAGGCGTTACTCGATGGTAGAAATGGAGGACTCAAAATGACATGAAGCTTGCTCTCGGTGGTCTTATTCTATACACTTGAAACAATTAAAGACCTTGCACAAAGCAACAGAAAAATATAACATAAACTACAAGCATAGCTGATAAGAGGTCACAGAATAAAGATGCAGTAGAAGGGCAGGTAGATGTTGACTTGGTGGCAGTGGATCTTGGAATCAGGATGGACAGAGATTGGTAGCTAGCTGCAAGTTTGGGAACAGAGATTCTAAAGAGTGATACTGTAGAAGTCTATATGAAATTGAATAACCAGTAATAAAATTATGTTGGAGAGTCAAGTGACGTGAGATTGAAAATAGAGTGCAAAGCATGGGAAAGGGTAGACTACCTTGATCCAAGTTGATGAATTTGGATTTTGTATAAAAGGCAAGAGGGAGCTCTTGTAGATCCATGAGTCAAAAAATGAAAGAGGTGACGACGTGTTGAGTCTCATAGTTGCTGACAGCATGTTCTTATTACTCTGCTCCTTTCATAAAAGCTAGCATGGCATTTGGCATTTAATGGGGACTTAATATTTGTCTGTTGAATTGAATTTCACCAGTTTTGCATTAGGAGGATGTAGTAGGGAGTAGTGGGAAAAGACTGAAATCAGACAATCCTCGTTTTAAATCTTTGTTAATCCTCAGGCAAATAAGTTATTTTCCCTCTCAGCCATAGTTCCCATGAAAATAGAATCAGTGATCATGTCCCTTTGGCTTTTAGAAGTTTATAGTTAAATATATGCACTGTATCTATAACAAATCTTGTCATATAGTAAAATACAGAGTAAGTGGCGTTTTACTAAACTTATTACCTTAAACACATTGTTTAAGTCACTGAATCTGCAAAATAACAGTGAGCTAACATATCTTTAGTGATTGAAATTCAAGAATAAATACCTCACAGTTGGATGACTGAAGCAGAAATGATTTTGAGAACCAAAGGGAGTTTCTATAACTAGCCATTCTGTGTTCATTGGGTGCATTTAATTCTGAATCATTAAGAGAAAGAAAATGACCTTATTAAGGGCCTGTCTTAGAGGCTGGTCTGAGACTGAGCCTCCAACGTCCCCAGTGAGACTGGGATTAAGCGCCATGAAATGGATAGCAATTGAAGTTAAACCAGTTTTTGTACTCCAGAAACCCATTATTTTATTAAAGAAAATTGTTCCTAGAAAAAAAAATCACCTATTTTCTTAAGTATTTCCTATCGGTTAAGTATATTTAAGATTTACAGATTGAACTGTGATAGTAAAAAAAAAGCAACATTCCCTATCTACTACAATACTATAGACTATGAAGATGAAATTGTAAAAAAAAAAAATTAACTAGGAAATCAGAAATGGGTTTTAATTTATAGATTATCTCATATGTATTTAAAATTATTATCTTCCTAGCTGTCAAAATTGATTATACATGTGTTTCCAGTTTTTAGTCTCATTAATCTCTGCTTCCCATAAATAGTACTTCCTCCATGAATCCTCTTATTTACAACCACACTATGGTCTTAACAATGAAGATTACATTATAAAATCATTTGGGAAGAGAGGCACATTGAACCTGCACACCTAATTTTTTAAAAATTAATCTATTTTGTTTAGTGAAAGTAGAATTTGGAGCTGATTTTAGTTGCCGATTCATTTTATTCTGGTGTCAAATGAGAATTCTAAGTCAGAACACAGATGCTTAAATTCATGGAATCTGTAAATGATTCATGAGGAAAAGCCAGGGAGAATGAGACTGAATCATATCACTCTTCTCAACTAGAAGGGTGGTCAGGACCTAACCTAAGTTTTTCTGATTCTTGATGAGCAGAAATAAAGTGTTAAGGTGATATGTCCTGAGCAATGAAGACACTGCTTCATCTAAACTGCAGGTTGCATTTTGCCTACAAACTTAGGCAGACTTATTCTACATGGGCAGTCCTCAAATTATGTCACAGGGAGAGCACTGACTGTCACTAATAGTACAATGATGATGGAAAGAAAGGAGAAGGAGCTTACAATAACTGAACATTTTAATTAGATGGTGTCATTTTATTTTTATAACCATTCTATGTACCATTTACTAGGTAAATATTTTTAAGCTTATTTGGCAGATAGCAAAGCTGAATCTTAAAGAAATAAATCAACCTGCCTAAGGTCACACAGTTCTCAAGTGTCAGAGCAGGAATTCAAAGCCAGTTCTGTCTGATTTCAAAGTTTCTGTTCCTTCCACAGATTACAATATTTCTTCTCTGGACCACAATAGAATTCATTACTCCAGGGAGGCGATATGCTGAATACATTATTCTAGGGTTTCAAAAGCATAATTTCTAGATCATTTCACAGGACATATTGATGGTTAGAAGCTAATAGAACTTTGATATAAGCCGTATGATGTAATTTTTATATCTGAATTACTCATGGTGTGTGTGTTCATGTGATAGGGAAAGTGTATGTGTAAATGTATAGGGCTTGGAGAATTTCATGTCAGAAAAACACACTGACCCATTAGTTCCTGGTGTGTCCAAAAGAGCATAATTAACAACTCTTTTAGCATAAATTACAGGCTGGACACTTTTTTTTTCCCCTCTATCTCTTTGAATAAGCTGAGGTAGTTTGCTTTAACTTATCTGGTATAGAGATTTAATCATCATCATCATCATAATACATAACACATATAAGTTACTATATATATGTTAATAATAATTTTTACTGATGTTTGTGTATATGCTAACAGCTATCATGTTTCAGGAATTAGGTTAGGTGCTTTCACATATAATATCATTGAGTCTTCACCTTCGTACTATAAGGTGGTCTGTTATTATTAACCACATTTTAGTGACAAGGAAACCAAAGTAGAAAGATATGGAGAAGAGTTTCAAACCTATGTCGGATTACCTTCAAAGCATATACTCTTTCCATTTTCCCAAACAGAACAGAATTTTCACATAGTCTGTAGCATAGAGACATAGTATTACATTTTCTATAGATTGATTGGAGGAAAATTGAGTCATTCCCATGTATGGGAGGCTATTTTTGGGTGTAATAAGTGGATTACAAGTTCCCAAAGAAATAAATTTCAAGTCATCTCTCTTTCTCCTACTCTTAGTATCAGAGAGAACACAATGTCAAGAGTCCCTAAATGCAAGTTGCCAAGAGACATCTGGAGGTGGCTTGGCAACACTCTGTGAAGCATTTGCTCTTCAGCAAACGGATTGAGCTATGCATACCACTGTCTGCTGTGGCACAGAGCTACAAATTAATTAAGTGACAAAAGGAGAGAGGGATATAGAGAGTATATTCGCATCAGCTTTCCTCTGCATTGCCTATTCTCAGGCCTGAGGGTGCCCCAAATGACATTAACAAAAAGGCCAATGGCTCCATCGCAATCCATTTCAGGCAATGGTCCTCTGAGTACTGTGCAGGTGACAGGCTGCACTAGTCACCTGACAGCGTTGGGCTGCTACTTGGAGTGCTCCATAAATGTCACACTGACAAGACCATCCTGAAACAGCAGGACATCAACTAAACACTAAAAGTAAGTGACCCAGTCTTCTCCATATCAAATCCGAGGGGTTCCAGCTAAATGAATATTTCTATAATTATTTTTGTTTTGCTTTAAAGACCAACACATTCATATGTATGAAAATTCATATTCACCTACCACCATTTTTTTCATCTAAAGGAAAACCTTTTAAACTAACTTTCCCAAAACTATTAAGCTAACAGCATAACTTAGTTAAGGCAAAAGAGTCAATAAATTTATACATTCATTTTGCTTTTTCTTTCACCATCTATCATAACATCTCATTATTCTCTTTAGTTTAAATGCATTTTCCTGATCCCAGACAACACTGATAGTCTCCCACCAGACTGTTTTTATGTAATGGCCAAACTCAGAGAGAACTAAAGAGCATGCTGGTACTTTTTTGCTAAAGGATGAGCAAAATCAGAAACAAGTTTTCAAACCAAACTTGCTAAGCAGAATGAAGTTATAGTTACAATTAGTAAGTCCTTGTCCTCTTAAAAAGTGTCTGTGTAAAGGGCTGGCCAAGTGGCTCAGTTGATTAAGAGCTCACTCAAGAATATGAGCTCTGAGCAACAGGGTCTCCAGTTCAATTCCCGGCCCGAGCTGATCTGCCGCTGAGCTGCCAACAGATGGCAGGATGGCTCAGCTAAAAAAAAAAAAAAAAAAAAAAAGGGCTGTGTAATCACCCTTAACAACTTCAGCTTCCTAGGAGTCATGTCAGGCTGGGCCAGATTTCCTCAATCTCCCAAAGAAGCTGAATGGCTTGTTATAGCCTGGAACAAGCCTTCTTTTGCAAGTCTGAAGATAATCATGTTTTGGATTTGAACTTCTCTGTTTACCCCCTAATATAGCACCCTTGATCTCTCAAATGTCACCTTCAGAACATAGGTTCTGAAGCTTAACTAGCTTCCCTTTACACTTGTGGCAAAAAAAAAAAAAAGTACGTAAGCAGAAACATATTTTTAAAATCCTGGTAACGCCCTTCCTGCCTGCCCCCCACACACCTGAAATGGCATATATCTTCATATTGTACTTCATAATTTAAGCAGAGATTTTATTATACTGAAGTTCCCATCTTGTTCTGAGGAAACTTAATCAGTTCAGTTTCCATTAAAGAGTAAACCACAAAAATTTCATTTTTTAGTTAACTTTTCAAAGCCTCAGAATTCAAAAAAAGAAAGAAAGAAAGAAAGAAAATGTCAAATATTTGAAATGTAAACCACCTCACTGTCAGATTCAAGACCAAGGCCTTAGAAAAGGAAAAGAAAGCAGTTCTACCCAGGAAACAAAGCAACTTATGCAAGTGTACAGCATTTGCAGCTGTCAGGGGGCACTTTATTTTTCACACTAATTGCCATGCATATCAAACCAAGTGAAAGCAAAAAATTCCAGAAACAGCTGTGACAATGAAGCCTTTCAAACCAAAAGAACTTTAAAAGAATTTCTGTGTGTGTATATGCATGTGTGTGTGTGTGTGTATTGTATGCAGTCACATGTATACATGCTAGAAAAAGAGACAGGTAATAAAGAAGGTTATAAATACTATTTTTTAAAAAGCTCATGCTATTTTAAAGCTATATCTCAGAATGTTTGAGTTACTACTCATTACTGGTAACCTCTACTTTCTCCTTTTTAAGTGTCAAATCAGATTCCTTCCTGGAATGAATAGAAAGTAAACTCAACCAAGGACCAAGTCCAGCCATGACTACTGCTGATCTGGCCTAATGAGCACATTTACACCTTAGGTCAGTGATGAGCACATTTACACCTTAGGTCAGTGATGCTTACACATGCACCTTAAAATAGGAAAACACAAGCCATGAGGTTAACAACACATAGAGTTCAGCCTTCTAGAAGGTTAAAGAGACTCATGCCACTGCATCAATAAAGGGTTTTGAGATTTCTGCCTCCCTCCAAATTGGACTTAACTCCAAAGCAGGTTATATTAATCTGTAATCCTGTCATAAAATGCATATTTCTATTGATTGGTGATGGATTCCAAGAAAATCCTTGATTACAAGCCCAGCTAAGCTCCCAGCTATTCGCCATTATGGACTGCCAGGTATGTGAGTGAACCATGGTAGATGTCTTGCCCAGTGATGTCCTCAGCTGTCTTCAGCCATCATTGCTAGCTGACCGAAATCACTGAAAAGACCCCAAGCAAGAACTTCCTAGTTGGGACGCTCCTAACCACTGACCCTTGAGAGATATTAATAAATTATTGTTTTAAATCCACTAAGTTTTAGAGGAGTTTGTTATAGAGCAATGGATAATAGGAACATGGAGGAGGAGTGGGATCTGAGCCTCAGGCATTGATGGATCTACAACATTTTAGAGGCAAAGACAGATGGAGAAGAATAGACAATTTCTTTAGTCATCACATGAGGCACTATTGGATGAATCATAGCAAATGGATATGTGAAGTAAACAACATACTACAGTTTCTTGGGGGGGGAAATGAAGTAATGAAAAATTCCTGTATACAATAAAATTGAAGAATTATATACCTGTTTCAAGTTTTCAAGATCTTCAGGACAACATTCTGTGGCCCTAGGGGCTTTGCCTGGGGCCCGGGTAGGAATACAGTCCCTAGTGTAGAAAGATGAGTATTGAGGATCTCTGGTCTCCAAAGAGTCCTAGTTATATAGATCTGAGTGCTAGTGACACTTGCCAACACAAAGGGTGTGGCTTCTGGATTCTAAACAGGTAGGCGTGCATGTTATGGGGTTTGGCGGAACATTCTTACATGGACCTTATGACCCTGCTTCAGCCTAGGTTGATGCATGAGGAATCCAAAAGGTAATAAGATTTGGGGATCTCACATGGCCTACACCCCTTTGAACCCATCTCGGTTTGGAAACTTCAGAAGAACTGCTCCTCTCCTTTCAACTTCTGGGAGTCTACTTAAACTCTGAGATATTACAGAAATTCCAGGCAATTTCATAGCTCCTATCATCTACTCTTTGTTGTCTCAAGATTTGTGCTACTGAATCATTTATTGACTGATACATCGATTCATTCAGGGGCAAAGAAGAGGAAGGAGAATTTGGAAAAATTCACATGAATAATTTCCCAAATCCCTATTAAGATTTAATTGTGAGTAGCAATATAAGTAAAAGAGAAAAGGCTGCTGAGGTCAGCTAGGAAGAACATGATATGAGGAAGAGCACTATAACTTTCATTGCAAAGAGTTTTTCTCTAGCTCCCTGTTTTTCTCTTGGTTGATTGTGATGGGAAAAGAAATTTACAAACAAAAATTTCTATAGTCCAAATTTTGGAAAACTTACAGCGTATTTTCATTTGCCTCTGGGTATCTTTTTTTTTTTTCAATGGGTTAAAATGCTGTCTGAAAAATGTATATTATGCATAACCCTCAAAAATCCAACAGATTATTTCTTATAACACTTCTATGGGAATTAAAGAGACAAGGAGAACTTAGGAGAATAGAATTTAATGTTCTAAACTAACAAACTTTGGTTACAAAGAATTTCTTACCATGATACCTGTATGAAGCATTATGTAATGCACAGTTTGAGTGACATCAGCTGCGTGAATCAGATTGTGATAAGGATTTTTGTACTTGCTGTAACCAACTTCTAAAGCTTCTGCAAAGGCAATGAGGCAAGAAACAGGAATCTGCGGAAAGTAATAATTATGATTATATTTTACCCAAAGAGTAGCTCTAAATCAACAGGAATACAATAATATTGTGGATGGGACACATTCTTGAGCCAGATGTAGGCAGAGTTTCTTAAGGTAAATGTGGACTGTTCTGAAAAACCACTCCATTAACCTGTTAGTTTTCAATCCTGAGAAGGATTGTAACCCCTAAGTGTTTAACTGGTAGATAAAATAACAGTTTTACCCATACTGTCATCTTTAAATGTTTATATCTTCCAGAGTCAAGTCAGAAGTCTAGTGCTTAAAAGGGTAAAATTTCCCATTAGAGTTGGTGAAGTCTAATTTTTCTATCTGTAATACAAGGAATTAAAATAAATGACCTCCCAGTACCTTCTACCTCTAAACATGTCACGATTCTACAGGTAATGATAAAAGGTACAGGCTGCAGAGTACTCAAAAATCTGGATCAAATCTGTTGCTTAGATGGCTCTAAATTAAGTTAATTAGAAGCTTTTTCATTTTAGTTTAAGAATAGCTGTCAATAAAGGTTTATTCTGTGTTTTAAGAACACAGAAGATCATATTTCTTTAAAACCGCTTTCATGTAGAGCTTTCAATCTCTGCATGACTGTTCTGTGAGTAATTCAAGGGGATGTTGTATCTCATTGAAATAAGGTTATAATGGCCTCATGATATCCAAGAGGGTATATAGCTATGTCAGTGAGTCGTGGAGGATGGCTTTATCATGTGCTGAATTCATTCCCCTAGTTCTGTGGCCTGTCAACTAGAAACATTACAAAATGCACTGATAAATGGCTCAATGTTCTGCTTTTTCATTGTTATTCAGATAACTAATTCTAAGAGCATTTCACTTTTGTTCCATGTTTCTGACCTTGAAACGGTTGATAAGATCGTATCTGGTAAACAGTTCATAAATCATAAACTTCAAACTATGTTCTCCACTTGCTTCATTTAAGGCAAATACATCAAAAGACCATTTATCAACATCCTGTAGAAAATAAAAGGAAATACTTTAGGTGGCAAATTCATATAGTTCTGTTTCTTTCCATGAAAAATTCCTGGAAATATTAGGCATTGTACATTCAACAGGTCAGATTTTAATTCAGCACATCAGACTATATTTTTGACCAGTGTCTGATATGACAGGGCCACTTAGTATCTATGGGTGCACTAAACTGAGGCCACGGTGGTTCATGTAGTGCTAACACCTCCCTCTTAATCCCAAGGTTATCAAACTTGATGTAATAAACCTGACAACATTTTCATACTACCCTTATCCTAAATCTCTCTCCCAATTCATAACAGCAATAATTTTCCCAGAGTGGGCCTTATTTTAAGGTGGAATTCCAGGTTGTGTGGGTGATGTCAATTGAGAGATAAAGGGAAGACAGCCCCAATTTCTCTTTTCCCACCCACTCACCTGCTACATTGTTTGAAATTCCACCCACTGTAGGAGTTGGTAATTTGGTTTAAATCTTTGCTATTTTATATCTTCTTTTAAGATGCAAATACACTAGAGAGAGTATATACTACCTTATTACTCACTCTAACCTAAGCTGATTCATTTATACTTTCCTCCAGGGACAGATGGTAAGACAAAGAAGTGGGTCTTTTGACTGAGGAGGAGACAAATGGTAATTTTGGCGTTTCAGGCAATTCCCTAGTGAAGCAGTCAGGCCTGTAGGGAAAGAGGTGCTCTAGGAAAGTGCCCTGGAATTACCTTAAGCAAAATCTTGCTACCATAGCTAGAGTGGTTTGATATACCTGTTCACCGCCCTCCTTCCTATAGTGAAGGGGCAAAAATTGTGGAGGAATCCACAAAATGGACTTGTAGCAAGTGATATCAGTCCTATACATTAGGGAGGTTTTCATGTAAAGTTTGAGCTCCAATGCTAAATAAAACCACTGAAATTAAAAAAAAAATTAAAGAAATGCAGCAGATTCAGTGCTAATGATTATCAAGAATTATTAGCAAAAAAGGTTTGGTATTGAAGAGTAAGTGGACACCCTTAAAGCTATGCACTAATTTTGAATTTGGGCAGGCACTGGTTAGAATTTCATTCATTAACATGTTTTTACAGAGGAGGCTAACTGCTGTAGCATGCTAAAACTAAACTGAAAATCTGATAAAAAGCATTCAGTCTCTTTTAAGAATATTTCCTTTGAAAAATAGTAACAATAACTTTAAATGGTCTTTTTAATCACTTGGAAGCAGCAATAAAATATTTTTTGAATTGCTGGTGAACCTTTGCTAAATTCCTTGCATTTAGCTCTAATTTGATCCCTAAACGCTTGCTTTATCTGTTTGTCAATGTACAATCTCTAAAAGTTCTGTTAGAAGACATTTTAACATCAGTAAAGCTCAAAGGAGGCCAGCAAATCTTTTATCAAATTCCAAAGCTAATACAGAAGAATTAGTTCAGACCATCACAAGGCTGCTATTTACAATCCCCAAGAGACATTTCCCACTGGGTGAAAGGTTAGTTCTCCATTTCTTGGGTACTTTTTATCAACAGTGATGACTACATTTGTAAACTAATGCAGATGCTTGGCTTTTGTTTGTCAGATTGAGAACAAAGAAGACAAAGAGGTACCTCAGGAAATAAGAATTATTTCACTAAAAATATTCTTTATTTAGTGAGAGTTAGTGCATATGTTTTTTTCTTTACATTACATTTTAGAAAAATGTTTACATTCTCTCATACTTAAATATTTTGTTAGTTGGTTTCTAAGCAGATTCCTAAAATAATAAATAAATAAATAAATAAATAAATAAATAAATAAATAAATAAAGTAGTCTTGCCCACAGTTCAGGAAATAATGAGAAAATCAAAATTTATCAAGAGCTGAGGAGTAATTAATATCCTATAATGTGACATTTCAGTTATATACTTTTCATTATTTTAGCTTTAGAAACGTAAATATAAAAAAGCATCCAGGAAAAATAAACAACCTTTTTAAATTAATAAGATTAAAATCTAATATGCATCAGAGAAAAAAACAAATGCAAAGGGGATGCTTAAAAGTAAATTAAAGAACAAAAGAAAGCAATATAAATTTGCTAGTAAAGTAGTTTAATGCACCAGAAATCAGGCAACCCAGGATATTCTGTTGCCAGTTTCCTTTAAATTCTTGGTTAATACAGGAAAACCACCATGAATCTGTTAGAGAAGACAAAGTTGAATTTCCCCCACCCAAATTAAGTGATAGAAGGAAATAAAGAATGTTGAATGATAGTTCTACAAAATGCTTCTGTAGAAATAAAATCTAGGAAGACTACACACACACACACACACACACACAATGGAGACAAGTAAGTGAGCCAACACTTTCACCACTTCAGAGTTTTGACTTCCAGTTATTTCTAACACATTCAATACTTTAATACAACTGGGCCTTAGTCTAGGGCAGGCCTCAGAAAAGCAGAGACAAGACACATAGATTTTGTTTGTTTGTTTACTTTCTTAATTTTATCTTGCTTTTTTTATTTCCTCAAACCTAAAATTCTAAACAATTTTCTTCCATATATTTTGTCCTTTAACAATATTTGACTGAAACATCTTTTTATAATGCATTCAACTTTTCCATATTATATACAAAGCAAAATATGTATGTATATTCTGACAAGTCTTGGTGCTTTTAAAACTGAATTCAAGATCCATGTACATAAAGCATAAAGAAGGAAAAATCACACGTGTGTGCACACATGCATGTGCATTGATACAGTTTATCAGTGTAAATCAATCCACATTTAAGTCAATGACTCATGATTTGGAACACATGACATTTTGTAAAATGGCTAAATATTTTTTACATACCAATATGTATGCTGCAGCAAAGACCTATTCTCGTTTTCTCCCAGCCATTTTAAGAAGATTTTTTTTAATGACTATTTGAGAAACTAAAATAATTGAAATTATTTCACCTTTAATGTTATTATGACAGCCTCTGGATATGCCAAACCAACCATGTGATAGGACTTTCTGTACATCCTAAAAAAGAAAAATAAGTATATATATGTATATATGCATACAAATCACTCAAAGTTTTCAACTATTTCTTAAATATAAGGGAAAAGATTGCTTTGACTCATTCACCTTTTATCATTAGTCACAGGCTTCCTTTGTCTCAATAATAAGTATGGTCACCATTTATTAAGCATCTACAATGTGACAGGTATTAATATTATTTTGTTTACACTCAGCCATCGTATAAAGTCAATGTAATTTTAGTTTCTCTATAAAGATCTCTTTCCCTTAACTTCATTTTATTAAAAGGGACTGTCCTTTGTATGTACAACATCACTTTCTAGCATGTCACCCTATCAATGACAGCAGAATATTCTTGCTTTGTGTCCATTTGCGTGCCAAAATTTTTGGACTGGAAGTTGAATACTTGTGGAAGTTGAATAACATATTTCTCTTGAGTCTTTTATAATATGGAAGTAATAGAAGGGAATAAGAAGTATCATAACAATTTGCACAGCTTTTTTTTTTTAAGTTAAGAATATTGCAGAAGACAATATTAACAAAGATTGCTTAACTTTACTAAAATTGTCATTTAATATCATTTAAGAAAGATTATACAGAACAAAGTTATTTCCATTTCTATAACAGCATCAATAAGAAAATATTTTTATTAATCAGTAATTTGTTGGATTTTTTTCCATCTGCCTATGGGCAACCAAGATACCCATAAAAACCCAAATATAAGAAATTCCCCCATAGAGTCATATGAGAATAGAACCAATGTGATACCCTAATGTGTAGAAATAGCAATAACCTTCTATTCTATGCATGGTTTCTCCACAAAGTCCTGGAAACAAAGAATTCAACTAATTATTAACATGTATATTAACATGCATATTAGTCCACAAGCAAGCTGCATTTCTAGACTCTATTACTGTAACTTCTCCCTCCCCCTCTCCCGCCCCCCAAAGTGCCTGGACAGAACCATAATTTAATGATTATATCATTAATTTATACTGGGGCTCAACATAAGAGATAGCTATTTAAAAATTATTCTGCATCTTCTATAAAACTGCTATGAAAGGCATTAACATTTTGATTGAATGTACATTATATTAAAAATCCATAAGACATATTACTCAACTTTTATGTAAAAGCTATCATTTTTTAAGATAATAAAAACCAAGTAATTCATCATGCTTTCCTTTTTAATCTTGACTTCTTGGAATCTCAGAATTAAAATATTGTTTATGTATATCTCTAGCCGAGGCTTTCTGGATAAAGCATCTCCCCATTTTATTACAGAGACATTGTTACTTTATTTCCATGTTTTCATTTTATGTTTCTTTTAAATGACTTTAAGTAATTTTTGGATGTGGCTGATCAGTTATCATAAAAAAATCATCATTATCCTCTATTGGAAAATTTCAGAACAGTTTATAAATAAAGACTTACACTAATTACTCCATTGAGGTAGGAATAATTAATCTTGCAGGGCAAAGAAACTATTAACAACTTTATAAAAAACTCAGCAAATAATTACTACCAATAATGATATTTATTAGGTTGTTAGGTTTTTTTTGAGAAAACAGTCTTTTCTGTCCATTTTCTAGTCATTATTACTAAAATAAAATGGAGATATGGGGAAATGGAAGGGCGATAGACAAAACAAAAGGTCAATATAAAAATTAATCAGGAATAGAAATTTTAAAAATTAAGTAACATTAAACCAGTTTGACTTCATGTCACAGAAAGGCAATATGATGTAACAAAGAGAATAGGTGCTTTGAATAACAGGTTAGCCATTCACTAGCTGTGTGTGAACTTCAGAAAGCCATTTAATGTCACTCATCTGTAAAATGAGGATAATTATAAGCTTTTTATGAAGAGTACATGATATAAATGCCTAGTGTAATAAGTACTCAATACAAGAAAGTTGTTATTATTATTATTATTATTATTATTATTATTATTATTATTATTACTACTACTACTACTAATCATATTACTATTCTCATTCTTCTACAGCCAAAACCATTGATCCAATTCTCAGTGGGAACTCTGACACTATTGAATTTCTTAGACTTGGAATAGGTTAAGGAATGGATATCTGAAATCAGAATGAGTGTGAGAGAAAATTAATATGGTTTCCTCACACGAGCAAATGCTTGATATATTACAAATTGCTGCAAAAGAATAATGAATTTCCTGGGCTTGTACAGGTAGTAAAGTTCCATCTGGACATATGGTGGATTATTTTTGCAAGTTTTTATGATAGGTACAGAATATAATTCAAAACTTAAAATAAAATAAAATAAAACTACCCATCTCAGACACCATGCTGGGCAACAGAATACTTATTGCAGAACAGCACAAATACAGTTGGTGCTTTCATGGGGCTTAGTCAGTGGTGAAGAGGGACAATGAATAAGAAACAATATATGATTACAAACAGTGGTAAGTGCTATAAGGTAAACCACTGGTTGGGGTAGAGAAAGTGATGAACATATGACAGAGTGATCAGGGAAGGCTTCTGGAAAGATGAAAAAAGGCCAGGCAGGGTAGAGGGTGGGAAAAATCATTTCTGATGGGTGTATTAGTAGGAGTAAGGGACCCAAGTTAGGAAAGAGTTAGGGATGTTCATGAAGTTGAAATGAGACTGGTGTAGACATTCAGTCATGGATGAAAGTAGCGTTAGATGGGTCTTAAAGGTGAAAGGGGGCCTAATCCTACAAAGCCACAATATAGAAATTGCCATTAATATCAAGTGAAATGGAAACCATCAGGTGATTTTAAGCTTAATGGTGACAAGAACTAATTTATAGTTTAGAACAGCACTGTAGAATGACTTGTTTGGAGAGGGCAAGTGAGGAAGAGGGTAGCCCAGCTAGAAAGCTATTGTCATACTTCTGAGGGCAGATAATGAAGGCTTAGGTTGGAGTTGCAGGAGTGGAAATGAGAAAGAGAGCAGGTTCAGGAAGCATTTGGCTAAGCACATTGCCAGGACTGGCCGAGGTAGTGAATCTTGTGGGGAATGCTTGAGAGAAGGTTCAAGGAGGCTTTCTTACTTTCAAGATTGAAGATGATTATTTTTGAAAACTCAAGATAAGCATTGCCCACTATTGTTATGTACTTACTAATGGGGATTCGAGGAAAATAGAAAATATTTCATTTCCATGTGTTTGTAGCATATTGATTTCTCCAAGACAGCTTACTAATTTAGTTACCTAAAATACATTTTGACATTTCTTTAGGCAGTTAAATAAAATATTTTGGGTGGCACTTAAAAAAAATGAAAATTTAGCAAGTCAATATATTTAACAAAATTCTTCTTAATCTTCTAGTGAGTGGAAATGGAAATTCTGTTGGTTTACTTCCACATTTGCATTTCTTTTCAGTTTGCCAAGTTCTGCCATATTTTCTTACACAAGAAAAATAATTTACATTCCTTCAGTAAATCAAACATACTCCATCCACTACTCTAGATATTTTCAATTTGATGTTATGGAAAACCAGTAAGTATCACACACTTGCCTAAGTTGTTTTTAAAAATAGGAATATGGTTATAGAAATTCTTTCTCTCCAGCCCTACCTCCCTGTTTCAGATTTCTAGTCCCATCTGGCAGAATTAGGACCAGTTTATGTACTAAGGAGCAGAGGGCGGGGGTCACATCACCAAACTCATCAAATTGCTTGTAATGAGGATACTTTTATCAAAGCCAATTCAATATGATTAAGAAATACTCAAAATAATTTGAATAATCATTGAGTGGTTGTAATTTTAGGTAATACAGGCACAAACTAAGATCCTAGAAGCTTTATGTGCGGAGGTTATAATACATTTTAAAATCACATTGAATACTTCTTGCAATGCATTCTCATTTGCATTTTTAGAAACCCAAGTGTGCTCCCCATTCCTTCCTTAGCAGAGGAGAATTAAAGTTTATAATGTTCATTAGAGATAATGACTGGAGATGTCAGAAGATAAAAAATGATGTGGTCTCCATTAAATTTAATTTTAAGTATATTGAAAAAATTCTGTTCCTCAATTTTATTAGTTCCCAAAACATTAAAATATTCTTTTTATATATAATTTAATATAATGTCATTGTTTTTTAATGTGAGGTTTTTCTAATAACTAGTTTTCAACGTTATCAAATGTAACACTTTTATTTCAAGTCTTTTTGTAGTTTTAGTTCTGGAACATCTTGTTTTGTAGACAGAAAAATAAGCTGTGTTCTTAAGAACTAAAATTGGGTCATATTAACATGTATTTCACATTATAAACTGGTGATTTGATTCAGTGGTCCCAGGGGCCATCAAATATCCCTTGCTTCAGTGACAGAACTGTTAAAAAAATTCTTCAAAAGTGGACATGAGAGAGCTTTCCGCTCATAATGCAAAGAGAAGATTCTTTTCTCTCTTAACTGCAGAGAAAGGCCTGCTTGATTTTGATATGTAGTATAGAATTTATTTTATGAGGTGTTACATTTTATTCAGGTAAAATTAGTTGCATTATATTTGAATGTGCTATAATTATTTTTAAACAGTTATTCACAAAAATTCATTGGAGGTAAATGGTCATTCAAAAGCCTTTGCTTTTAGTCTTTAGGTCAATTTAAAATAATTTAAAAATAACTTTTATTTCCAGGACAAGAAATAGGTAAGTTCATCGTCAAGTCCTAAATCTGTTCATTCTAGGTATACTTACGATTGCACTTTTCCTCAATAAGTAAAATATAGAATTCTCATAACTTTAAGAGAGTAAGTATGTGTGTTGACCTTCAAACTATACGGCTTGAGATACCAGCAATTTCACTTACCTTTCCACAAAAATTCCAGCTTGAACAGCATGCACAATGCTCCGAAATTTTGGTTTTTCCTCAGATTTCTTTTTCATCATCCCCATTTTCCGTGTAAAGGTAGAAGCCAACCAGTCCCGGACTTCCAATGGGACTGAGTCTGACTGAATGTCACTGAGCTCATCATCGGTGTCCAGCAGTCTTCTACAAAAATTTATACCAATTAAACTTTAGAAAAAAGTGAAGAAAAGTAATAATAAAATGAGCATTGCAATAGGTTTTAATATATAGAAAATCACTCTCTGATCATCCCTCAATATGACTATCTAAAGAAAAACGATTGGCTAACATTTAGAAACCTCTGAATTACTCACATTGATCATCTTCCAAAGGTAAGGACTAATGGATTTGAGTATTTGCAGATTCACAAACATTTAAGTACAATAATACCAGTCTGGTGAGATCAACTGTTAATATCATGAATATAATATTCTAATAATGAATAAAACTAAGATAAGATAAGTGACGAGTTCACAAACAGATGCCTGCTATTCAAGGAAGCAACGGGGATGGAAAGAAAAAAGGGGGGTTGAAGCCAGCAAAATTGTCTTATATAATAATCTGTATATATTGTACAGATATTACATGCTATTTGAATAAGGCCTTGCAGTTTACAAAAGTCATCCACATGTGCTATTTCATTTGACTGTTATATGTAAATTTTAGGAAAATAGTATGCACTCTAAAAAAAAATTCATTCTGACATCAACATTACAGGTAAAAAAGTGAAGGAAAAAAAAGATAAAAACAAATGAATTAATTTGAAAACTCATTTTAGGAGAACGAGCCAGTGTTAAGTGAAAGAGAAACACCTCCAGTTAAGAGCAAATGCTATTTTGAGGGCAGAGATCTGATAGGTTTAGAACTGCTGGCCAAGAAAATCAACTGAGTGAAACCACTGCCCTGCCACTCTCCTGTATAGCTCCAGCCACATAGATAACAAGCAATAATAGCTGCCATTAGGCTGGTCAGCTCCAGTGGCCCACAACTTCCTAAAGGTCTAAACTGGTGAGATAGTTTGAAAGGCTCCCCACAAAATACAAAAACAGCTTGACAGGAAAGGTAGACCTGGCCTCCAGGAGGTAAGAACACAGGCCACCTCTGTCTGACCCCTGACTCAGTTATTGCCTTGCCAGGACACCAATTTAATAACTGAGAGCTATTTTGGGCACACTTGAGATTTGACCTTTGGGTTCCTCTCCCTTTGGTAAATGTCTTTGCATAGAGTGAGGCCTAAAAATATGAGCCTCTGATGGGAAGGTAGCCAGGGATGACAGCATGTGCTAAAGCCTCCAGAACAAGTCACATACCATCTCGAAAGGGCAGGGACCAAGGAAAGGAGAAAAAAAGAAGGAAGCAGGCCCAAGGCACCCAATGCCATCAAAAAGAGGCTCAAAAGATATCACCTCGTCTATGTGTTGCTATTTTCTATAAACTTTTATAGGACCATCATTTGCCAATATTTAGCTCTCATGGTATTAAACAATCATGAATGAATTTATGATACGCCTTATGAAAAAACACACACAACTTAAGTGCTGCGGTTACAAAACTACATGTATACATACGAAGATAAAAAAGACTTACATAGTTGGAAGTTAATGTTGATTAATACTTATTCTATATCATTTTTAAGTTTCTTTGAGGTCTTACGTTTGGGTGCTTTTGATTTACCCTTAATACACTGATGTTGCAATTTAAAGCAACATTCATTTTTTTCTCCTTTTGCTCATGTTAGATTACATTCTTTAGCCAATTACAGCAAGACATTATACCATATGGTTTGAAAATTTCAGGGCTTATGCCATTTCTATTATTATCAGTTATGCCATTTTTATGATTTCTTATGTCATGAGCAAACATGACTGCAGAGCAAGACGGGTGGAATGTGAACCATTGTGGTGTAATACTGTGACATCACCAAGCTCCAAGAATTCTACTATTGTCTTGTTTTTATCAACTCCTCTAAGTACAATGACAGACACATAGTAATGGTTGCCAATTGCTCCTTTGATGTTGATGACTTTATGGTTATATGTCCTAAACTCATAAACTGCTCAAGACAGATGATCAAACATGACAAAATCAGCAGATGGAAATGAGAATTCACATAGAGATGTGATACGCAGGAGTCGGGTAATCCTAAATCATGAGGCATGATGTTGTTTACTGAGAAGGAGGTATAATCTCAGGAAGAAAGAGTGATGTGGATTAATTAGTGGATATTGGAATAAAGGAAGACTATGTAAAGAGAAAAGCAAGGAATATGCTATTGTATAATTTAAAAAGAAATCTCGAGGGACGGCCGGTTAGCTCAGGTGGTTAGAGCGCAGGCTAATAACACCAAGGTTGCTGGTTTGATTCCCACATGGACCAAGGAGCTGCGCCCTCCACAACTAGATTGAAGACAACTACATGACTTGGAGCTGATGGGTCCTGGATACACACACTGTTCCCCAATAAAATTTAAAAACAAAGAAATCTTGAAAAAGCAACAAATACCTCTGCAATGGCTAATTTTATATGCTACCATGGCTAGGTAATAGTGTCCACGTATTTGGTCAAACAGCAATCTAGTTGCTGTGAAGGTGTATGTTGACGTGACTAATATTTAAATCAGTAGACTTTGAGTACTCTCCATAATGTGAGTGGGCCTCATCCAATTAATTGAAGGCTTCAAGGGATAACACAGAGGAAGAAATTCTGCCTACCGACTACCTTCAGACTCAAGATTGCAACATTTACTGCTGCCAGAATTTCTAGCCATTGTCAACCTGCCATGAAGAATTGCATCTTGCCATCCCCCACAATCACAAGAGTCAACTCTTTAAAAGCTTTCTCTCTCACTCCCTTCATTGCCTTTAGGCCTTTAGGTTAGTAAATACAGTATAATGGCTAAGGATTATATATATATATAATCCTGGGCTTTTGTTAGAGAATTATCATAAACAATTTTTCTATACATTTATCTAAGATGTGAAAATATCTGAATACTTACATAAGATTATGTCACATGTAAAACACGTAAGACTACAGCCTGCTTTCATTTTATTTTTGAAATCAATTTGTGCAAGTAGCTTGCTAAAATGGGACCTGAAATACTCACAATGAATTTTGCTTTCAAATCATCTAACAACTTTATTGTTCTTCATCCTAGTGTTAGATGGCAGAGTGAACATAATTGTGTACTCTGCAGTGCTCCAAAAAATGACTAACATAAAACTAACAACATAAAAAAAACTAACAACATAAAAAAAAATCATTGGTGCATTTTTCTTGGGAATTCTTAAAATGCACAATACAGAAAAGAATAAGGAGTATACATGTAAAATGTTTTCACTGTTGACCTCTGAAAAAGGCTTCCACTGATGTTTGATGTAACTTTTTCTTTAGTCCCAATGGAGTCACTAAAGCAGAAAATGAGGGTTCCTACACGTGAACTATGCATTGATGGGTGGTTGGCAAGCTGTGAAAACTGACCCTGCATCCAATCAGAACTTAACCGATCCTTGGGAGCTATTTATATTCCAAATTTTCTCTTGAAATCAGATGACACAACTCCCAAAGGGCTTATATTTTGAACTAGAAAGTTTGTAGGGGAAGGGAATAAAGAAGGAGGCGGTCCCGGAAGGGGAGGTCATGGGATTTTGACTCTTACAATTATATCAGTGCAAATATTTCTTTTCACGGTGAATGCTTGGAAAGTTATTATAGCCATGTCCCCACATTGTTATTTCTGGGGAATAGGTGCTCACATTTACACCTATTGAGAATTAAAATTCAAGTGCTGGATAAAATTCAAGTGCTGGAGAAACTGGCTTCCCTAGTTTGAAATGTTCTTGTTCCTGTTTAACTATTATTATAAGGGACATTTATAACCATCCTTTGTAAAGGACATTTCAACAAGCAAGTACTCATTTAATTCTGCCCCGAACATTTGCTGGGCCGAGGGCAGGAGCACACTTCTCCCAAATACCATATAATTAAATATTTTAAAGTTACATATCAAGTGAATAAATTGTTAAATATGCCCTATCCTCCCACCTTTTCATAAGTTTCATAAAAGCCTGACAAGTTGAGTTTGAATTAAAAACTCTCAGCTCTTATGTGACAGGGCTGGGCCGTCTGGCTGGGGACATCTACTTGACCTTCTGCTCAGGTCCTCGCTGCACAGGCAGGTGGACACTGCAGCCTCCCAGTACAATCTGTGTCAACCTGCTTCTTGGCCACTCTTTAGGGGTGGAGGGGTACACACTCCAACTGTGTTCTGGGCCCCCTCAGGAGGAAAGACCTAAGGATGAGGCCCATAAAGACTTAGGAGACAGTCTAGAAGACCTTACAGCAGAGAATTTTGGAGTGTCAGTGTCAAGAATATGGTAGAGGGCACACTGGGCAGGGGAGAGAATTCCAGTGTCCAGAGGAAGACGAAGAGGGGCATGGGTTTCCAGGTTCTTCTTGGCCTTGGAGAACCTATCATCCCAATGGGGAAGAGCACACTCAAAGAGGGCCATTATTGAGCACTCTAAAATGAGGGGTAGTGTTCAGGGAAGCAGTTACAATGACTCTGGGTTAAGGGTGATACTGAACTCATATGTGATAAACATCTTCCCAGTGAGCCTTTCCAGGATGGATGGGTAATTGAGAAAGGTTGATCTTTCTGCAGTATGGGTATTCTTTGGGGTTAAGCGGTTCCCTCCTAGGCAAGCTCATTAATGCTATTTTTTTTATCAACACATATCTATGCTCTGAGCTGCCTGTGTTTCCCTGCCCCCTGCAAAAACAAAAGCAAAAAAAAAAACAAAAAACAACAACAAAAAACCCCAAAGGGTAACAATAAAGGTTCACCCAGACTTAAGAGCTATCTGAGGATATAGATGATAATATCAGCTAACTTTATTGCTTACTTACTATGAACCAGGCCAGGAGCCAAGCTTTATGTCATTCTCATTTAGTCCTCATAATATCAATGAAGAAGACACAATTATTATCACTGTCCCTATTTTACTGATGAATAAATTGAGACAGATACCTTGAGATTTGCTCAAAGTCACACAACCAGGAATGGTTGTGCTGCTTTTTGAGCTCAAATCTTTTGGATTTCATAGCCTGTTTTTAACTGCAGAACTATCCTTCACCTGAAATGC